CCCCACACACCCCTCTTCCCTCCACCGACCTCCTTTCCCCTCGTTTCCCCACACTCTACTTCCTCTCTAAGTTCTTCCTTTCCCCTCCACACCTCACCCGTTTCCCTCCCTTTCCCTCCACGCCCTCACTCGCTTCCCTCCTCTCCCCTCCACGCCCTCACACATCCCCTACTCTCACACCCTCTTCTATTCTCTTTCCCTCCCCCTTCCCCCTCCTCCTTTTCCTTCTCTACCCTCCCTCTTCTCATTTTCCATTCTCTCTTCCTTCTCCTCCCTTTCATTCCCATTTTCCTTTTCCCTTCTCTTTCCTTTTTCTCTTCCTTATCCTCCCCTTCCTCTTCTTCTCCCTCCCCTCCCCCCCCCTTACTGCCTCCCTCCCCATTCTTCTTCCATCTCTTTTTCTTGCTTATTCCTTCTTCTGTTTTCCTTCTCTCTCCTCTTTTATTTACCCTCTTCTTTAACTTATTTTAAATCCTCTCTTTATTTCTTATCTTCTACCCCCCCCCCCCCCCCATTTTCTTGTGTCTTCTTCTCCCTCCCTATTTCCTCTTCCTTCCTCTATTTTTTTTAAATTTTTTCTCTCTCTTTTCTCTCCTCTCCTTTTTCTCTCTCTTTTCTCTCTTTTCCTTTCCCTTTTTCTTTTTCCTTTTTCTCCTCTTTCCCTTTCATTGTTTTAGTCTTTCCATCTTTTCTTCCCTTTTTCCTTCCTCTCTTTTCTTTTCCACTTTCTTTCGATATTTTCCTTCCATTTTCTTTCCTCATTTTCTCTTCCCTCTTATTTTCCTCTTTAATCCTCCTACTTTTCCTCTCTTCTTTATTTTCCCTTCTTCCTTTCCTCTTATTTCTCTGCTGTCATCAATTTTTTATTTTCGTCTTCCTTCTCTCTTAATTTTTTTTTCTCCCCTCTTCCTTCCTCCCTTCTTTTCTCTCCCCTCTTCCTTCCTTCTTTTTTCTCCCCTCTTATCTTCCCCTTTCCTTTCCCCTTTTTTTCCTTGCTCCCTGTCTCCTTTTTCTCTCCCTTCCTTTCTTTTTTTCCCCTCTTCTCCTCCTTCATTTCCTTCTTCTCTACTTTCTGTTTTTCCACCTTTTCTTTTCTTTCCCCACTTTACCTAGCTCCTATTTCGTTATCTTTAATTCCTCCATTCTTCCTTTCTCCTCTTTTCTCACCTCCTTCTCTTCCCCTCATATCCCACTGTTTTCCCCTCTCTCTATCCCCCTCTTTCTTCTCCCCATGCTCCTCTCCTCTTCCTTCCCTCATACCCTTATGTCCTCCTTCTCCTCTCTTGCTTCTCCCCTTTTCCTTCCTCTAATATCTTCCTCGCCTTCTTCTCCATTTTTCCCTCCCTTTCCTTCCCCTCATATCGTACCCTCTTCACTCCCCTTCCTTCCTTCCCTCATTTTTCTCTTCCTTTTTCCCTTCTTTTCTTCTCTTCCTTCCCCTCTTCCCTCCCTTCCTTCCTTCCTTCTCCTCCTCCCCTCCCCTTTCCCCTTCTCTCCTTCCTTCTTCTTTCCCTCCTTATCCCCTATACATTCTCCCTCACATCCCTCCCCCTTTCGCTCTTCACCTTATATCCTCTCTCTCATATCCTTATCCCGTTTCCATCCCCTCTTCCTTCCTCCCATATCTTCCCTTCGTCCTACATACCCCTCATATTTTCCCCTCTTCCTACCTTCCCCTCCTTCGTCCCCCTATTTTTCCCCTCTTC